CTCAGCTCTTCAGCTCAAGGCTAGCGCTCAACCACTTGACCCACAGTGCCACTTCCAGCTTTTTTCTTTTTGCTTATGTGGTGCTGAGGAATCAAACCCAGGGCCTCATGCATGCAAGGCATAGAATTCCATTGTGTATATACCACATTTTCTTGATCCATTCATCTACTGAGGGACATTGGGGTTGGTTCCATATCTTAGCTATGGTAAATAATGCTGCAATAAACATAGTTGTGCTGCTAGCTTTAGTATGGTCTTGTTTGTGATCATTGGGTAAATGCCCAAAAGTGGGATTGCTGGGTCATAGGGGAGCTCTATGTGGAGTCTTTTGAGGAACCTCCATACTACTTTCCAAAGTGGTTGAACAAGTTTACACTCCCACCAAAAATGCAGTAGGGTTCCCTTCTGTCCACATCCCCTCCAGCATCTGGTGTTATTAGAGTTCTTGATTATAGCCATTCTAACTGGGGTGAGGTGGTATTTCAATGTTGTTTTGATTTGCATTTCTTTTATGGCTAGAGAGGTTGAGCATTTCTTCATGTGTCTATTGGCCACCATTCTTTCCTCTTCAGAGAAGTTTCTCTTTAATTTTTTAGCCCACTTATTTATTGGGAAGTTGTTTCTTTGAGGATTTGTTGCTGGGAGATTTAATTTTTTGAGGTATATTTTAGATATGAGACCCTTGTCCATTGTATGGCTAGTGAAGGTCTTCTAATCCACAGGCTTTCTATTGATCTTGCTAGCTATGTCCTTTGCCATGCAGAAGTTCTGCAGCTTCATGCAATCACATTTGCCCAACCCTTCTTTGATTTGTTGTGTTCCTGGGTCTCTATTAAGAAAATTCCAGCCAGTGCCAAGGAGACCTACGATTTCTCCTATTCCATCCTGTACGTTTTCAGAGGTCTGCTTTGACTCCGAGGTCTTTGATTTATTTTTCTTTCTTTCTTTCTTCCTTCCTTCCTCCCTTTCTTTCTTTCTTTCTTTCTTCCTTCCTCCCTTTCTTTCTTTCTTTCTTTCTTCCTTCCTTCTTCCCTTTCTTTCTTCCTTCCTCCCTTTCTTTCTTTCTTTCTTCCTTCCTTCCTCCCTTTCTTTCTTTCTTTCTTTTTCTTTTTCTTTTTTTTTGGGGGGGGGTCTGGTCGTGGGGCCTGAACTCTGGGCCTGGGCACTGTCCCTCAGCTCTTCAGCTCAAGGCTAGCGCTCTACCACTTGAGCCACAGCACCACTTCCAGCTTTTTTTCTTTTTGCTTATGTGGTGCTGAGGAATCGAACCCAGGGCCTCATGCATGCAAGGCAAGTGCTCTACCACTGAGCCACCTTCCCAGCCCCTCTCTCTTTTTCTTTCTTCCTTCCTTCTTTACCTTCCTTTCTTCCTCTTTCTTGTCTGTCTGGATTTCTTTTTCTCTCTTTCTTCCTTCCTCTCCCTCCCTCCCTTACCTCTCCCTCTTTTCCTTTCTTCCTTCCTTCCTCCTTTTCTTTCTTTTTCTCCCTCCCTTCCTTCCTCACTCCCACACACTCTCTCTCTTGCTTTCTCTCTCTCTCTCTCTTTCTTTCTTTCCAGCTTTTCTCTACTTTGTGGGCTTCCCAATTTTAGCCAACAGTGCTTAGAGCCTTTAGTGGGAATTCTCTGAGTAGAACTCAAAAGAAAAGCAAATTTGTCTCAACTAGTCCTGTTCTTATAGTTATCTCTCTAAATTAGGCATTAAAACAAGAACAATTATGGACTAAAGTTGAATCTTCAGAGAAAGAAGACACGAGACTTTTCAGGAAAGGGTCTCTGGAATGGACCGTCCTTAATTTAATGTCGAATCCCAGCCAGCATTCCTGTGTGTTCAGTATTTCTGCTTCATTCAACTAGCTGTGGCTTTCTGAGTCTCACATCTCATCTGGTTTTTGCTGTTAATTGAAAGACATAATTATTTTAGGTACGAGAGAGAGAGAGAGAGAGAGAG